AGCGGTTCAAATCTCACCGGCTCAGGGTTGACTCAGCCTTCTATCCTTCCGAGGTGGGAAAATGAGGACCCCGGTTGTTGGGGGCAATATGCTGACTCTCTGTAAACCGCTTAGAGAGGCCTGAAAGGCCTATGAAGCGGTATATAAGTCTACTGCTATTGCTATATTGCTATTAAAGTGCTTACTGTTTTGCATAGTTTTTGTCAATTTTTGACATGTGTCTTAAATTCCAATTGGAAATTCCAATTCTTATTCTGGGTACCAAGGATCAATGTCCATGATGGCTCTATTAGTTTCGTCTCTTTTGATCATAGTAGGTTACTGTAAGATTTTAGTATAAACCAGGGCTATCACGTATGTCTTCCATTGACTGTTTTCTAATCTGTTCATAGATGTTTGAAATGGAACACTAAAATCTATAATGAAATCATCTTCTATTGAAAGACAACTGAATAACAAGAGCTAGAGCATTCTTACCATGGAAGGAGTATGGTGAAGAATTGCCCATTTATAACAGTTGACGTTTCCCCCACTAATGATCAACACCAGTCATCACTATGTTTTTTGATACTTGTCATATCACCTGTCCTTGCTAACCAAAAAAGAAAACTAAAATAACCATCAAGAAAAAGAATATAATAGGCAGGCATCATATTAGGTCCTGTGAGATAGAAACAAATTAAAAACTGGCACAACATACATATAGTTGCTATTGCTACCATCATCATCGCCCAGTGTACATTTGTGCAAGATTTTAAACAGAACCAGTAGCTGGAATTGTAAAGAGTACCTACTTTGCAAATTTTCATCTCAGAGTCAATAATTTTTTCTAATTTCTTTTAGTGATCTAATTTAATCTAAGTCATTGATACATTGTTGGAATGGGTATGGTACTGAAAAGTTTGTGTTCAGCAGAGTGAATATGTACTAAACTTCAGAAGGATATTATACATACATACATACATACATACATACATACATACATACATACATACATGTTGCATTTGGGTTTGATCCTTTAATAAGAAAAATAGAATATTATCCTCATATAGGAAATGTCACTTGTGAGATAATATATACAGTCTTTTTACAATAAAAAGTAATATATCATTCAAGTTGAGTTCAACACCTAATGACTTCATGGGTCCGTTTCTCAGCAACAGGACCTACTGTATGTATGTATGTTTGCCTTATTTTCAACCTAGCCTACAGCACTAGAATTTTCTGAAATTCTCCTCCAGATGTTCGTCAGGCCCAACCGTCTATATTCCAGGTCGATTTAGAAAAGATTGATTAGAATAGTTATTGTCAAGATAAATTCAGCAAAATGAAAATCTTAAACTGACTGGTGAGGGTATAGCTTCTAATTCTACTGATATTTAAAATTATTTTAAATTCTAAATTTAGTTGATTTGCATTGTGAGGGATTCCCCCCCCCATACCGCTCAGGCTACTTTAAATAAATATAATTCTACAAAATATCACATTGCCTCATCAGTTCTGATCTTGTTTTTTTGTTCACAGTTGCAACAAGCCTCTGAAGTGTCTCAGATGAGAGGTGCTAGAGTAATCTCTGCAGAAGATCTTATTTTTTTGATGCGCAAAGATAAGGTACTGTAATATAAATTAACTGATGTTGTAAATTAAACCATGAATTAGTGTTTTCTCTAGTCACCCAACATGACACTTCAAAAATTATAATTCAGTCAACATCATACCAATAAGATACAGTAATTCCTCCAGTATCAAAAGTCCCCTTCTCTTACTCTCTATGCTCAAAAGGAAAAAAATAGTTATTTCATCCTGCCCCATATTTGCAATATATGCTCCAACTGTTTGTAATTGTGCTTTGTAATGTCATTTATCCTACTTACTTTAGAAGGAAGGAATAATTGCAAGTGGAGTTGAAAAATCTTAAAAGATATTGGTAAAAAAGTAAAAACTGCTTAATTTTCAAAATTCGCACTGAAAGCTGTAACAATGATTATAACAACAAACTTTTCCCCCCTCAATAACTGAAATTATGGTTCTAAGTATGTTTCTGTGTCTATGCACAGAAGGTAGCAGATTAATGATTTTATTCCAGAGAATGGGATATGGGATATGCCAAGAATTTGGTGCACACTTCATAATATCTAGAGAAAATCAAGCTGGATAATGTTTTTTTAAGAAGGATTGTCAAACTGTTTAGACATTGACTACTGTAGAAAAATTATGATCAGCCTCACTGATAGGATTTCCCGTAAAACTTTTAGAGAACCCTGAGCTCAGCCAATGGGAGACAGAATGAGTCAAAAGTTTCCTTATTGGAAAGGCAGCCATCCCAGCTCCACCTTAGGCACATATGCTTCAAGTTTTACAAATTGCAAAATGATTTTTTTCCCATTTGAGTTATATTGCAGCTAAACTAGAAAACAGGAGAAACTGACTCTTATCAGCTGGAACATCCATTGGAACAGGCTATTTACATGTTCTCCTTTACTGGAAATCTTCAGAATGAGAGTAGGATGGTCATCCATCAGAAATACTCTAGTGGATCATGCACTGAATAGGGAATTGGACTAGATGATGCTATGCTCACTTTTATTCTGTAAATGTATGAAAATTATATCAACTTTCCAAAGAGGTTGATTTTGTGGGAACATAGCAGTACAACTCTGATACCAGATCAGTATAAATGTGAATAGGAAAAACCCTCTGACACATTACTTTCCCTAAATACTGCTTTATGCTCTTTCTCTCTCCCTCCCTCTTGTTCCACTCCAACTCATGTAGTTTAAAATGATTGAAGCTGAGTTTATTAAGGCAAATACAAGACCATTATAATCAAAATTTTAAAGGGAAATTGTCTGTAAGACCTGTCACCAAGATACATGCAAAATCAGGGGAAAGAAATATTCTCTGGGTGTCATTTGTCCCCTTGATTATTGACAGATCAGAAATATTAGGTCATGATTAAGAAAAAGAAGGAAACAATTAATCAATTTTTATTACAGTCACATATATTTATACCAAATAATTGCATCAAACTAACAACAACAACAACAAATAAAAATAAAAGCAAAATAATATATTACGACTGGTGGTGGAATAACAGTGAGCAGTTAAAGTTTGCCTAATTTTACATACAGCATAGCAAAATTTGGCCACATTCAGAGAAATTACTCCATATTGATCTGATAACAGTAGTTACAGGTAGAAAAATATCAGTATTTCTTGGATAATTTATTAGGTGAGGTATTATAAATTGAGTCTGTGGGTCCTTATAGAAGATGCAGTATGGGAGAATGTGAGCTATAGTTTCAGTGGCCCCTTATCCATAGGGGCACAGTCTCAGCTCATATGGTAATTTTTTGTATTGGCCCTCCAAAACTTCTGTAGGAAGTGCATTTAGTGCACTTCCCACAGAATTAGTTAATGCCCTTCAGATTTGAGGAACAATTATTTGGTATAAATATCTTTCTGCTTTAAAAGGGGGAGTTTGACTGCTCAAATGAACATTCTTGGGAAGAGCAGCCTAGTCTTGCTGGATTTCCAGATCTTTAATACATTGTTTAAGTGCACTAAATGCACACTCATACTCTGTCATTAGAAGCACTTCCCTGGAGAAACCAAGATACTAGAGTTTTTGTGAGATGGTCTTGAAGCATGCTGATTTGAAATTGTTTTCCATAAGGAGAGAACTCAAACCTATAGAGAAAAAGAGTAGTTTTAACCAAAACTGCAAAAATGTAAAGGTAGGAGGGAAACATAGTATGATTAATTAACTGTAATGATACTAAACAGCTAGCTGCCTGAAAGCAACCTGCAAGTGCTTATCTTGTTCTGAGATAAATTCAACTATCACTAAATTTATAAAATGAAAATAAAGGTGCTTGTTTACAGCCTGCTATTCCCATAAACTTTTATTCACACACTGAAGTAAAACAAAAAGGAATTTTGATTCAAACTTCATTATTTTTCAGTCTAGTCTGCTTATTGAACTGGCAAAATAAGGTTTACATGACTGAAAAGTATAATGAACACAAGAAAAATGAGTGTTGAAATATATCTGCACAAAAGATACACTTGATTTGATTTGCATTGTCAGACATGTTTGGAATTTCAGTATCAATTTGAGTTTTTGCTAAAGTCTGCTTTTGGTTCTATTAAAATAAGTATTGTCAATCTGTGAATATAAATGTGGATATATAATCTAAGATTGCGGTTACAATGCTTCAAATTTTTCCTTGAATGTTTAATGTTAGCAGGCAGTGTCCATGTCCATTTTTTTCTTAACTAGAAAAAACTTCGAAGATTACTTAAATACATGTTTTTCCGAGATTACAAATCTAAAGTTGTCAAAGGCATTGATGAAGATGATCTTCTTGAAGGTATGAAGCTTCCAGAAAACTTGACTTTCTATGGGGAATATGCTACATGTGCTCTATCTCCACAGTGTCAAATGGAAATATATTCCTCTTCCAGCTAGCTTTAGACATTCAAAATTGTACTTCGTGGGAAATTTCATTTAAGCCAGTGCTTTTCCATTCCAATTATTTATAGAAGTTTAGAATATTAGTCCATCAACCATTTGATAACCAGAACTGTTAATATCAACAATTAAGTTTAGTTAAGGCACTGATGCTGATTAACAGTCTTTTTAATTTTACAATTTACATTTTCAAATTAATTTGAACTATAATTTAATTAATTTATTAGAAAAAATATTGTCAGAATTATCCTTTAATACTGATCTAAAATTAAGATGAATGTTTGGTAAATACTCTTTTTTCATTTTAATTAGTTACTAAATATGTAATCACTCTAATTTGGTTGCATTTCCCCTAAAATTTATTTCTATGGGATTTCCAGATATCTGGGATCTGTTTTAAAATCCAAGCATTTAGTGTGAATGCAAATGGATTTGCAAAAGGACAACATGAGACAATGACCTTATATTGATAATTGGGAGAGAGGAAGAAAGCAAAGCAAACAACCAAAAAGTATCTGGCCCAAAGTTCTTGCTCTCCAGGTCACCTGTCCATCACATGGTCCAATCAGGTCATAGTCCCAACTCCGGCTGCCTTTGGTGCACACTCCTCCAACACTTTGGCTCCCACAGGAAAGAATATTTTTTTGGCTAACATCCCCCGGTTATCTCTACCTCCCCCCCCCTTACATTCCCACAGCGCCACCCGGTCTCGCTGTGGCAGCCCTGAACATGCTCCCAGAAATGGCTTCAGGGCTGACAATCTAATTTTTTTAAAAAAATCAAGAATGTGCAGTCAAAGCAGTGCAGGTAAGATGGAGAAATCAGGCAAAAGTAAGATCGTGACAATACTTTCTGACTAAAATGAACATAGAAGTGATTGGTTTTTTTCAAAGAGCCATAGATTCATCTTTATCCGAGTGTCTTCAGTATAAAGGTCCAAAGTTCAGTGATACTCCTCAGCTTTCTGATATAAGTGTTCTGTAGTCATGGTGTATGTAATTGCAGGGAGAATTAAATTAAAATGGTCTTCATTCAGCTGACTCGATTTCAGCACTTGCTTAGATGCTTTCATGGAATCCCTTTTTTTGTATCAACAGCTGTCTATTTTCCTTTTCTGGTCTCTTTCAGACAAATTCAGTAGCAGCACTAACAAACGTCAGAAAACTGCTCAAGACTTTCTTACTTCTATTGATCAGACTGGGGAGCTCTTGGCCTTGTTTGAAGATGATGAGATAGATGATGTAAAGCAAGAAAGAATGGAGGTAAATTCTACCCTTTTTTCTAAACAAAGTACGAAAACTATTTACTTTACAAAATTAGATTACATTAAAATAAATTAAGTTAAATTCATTTAGTCCAATTCCTTGCTTTATAGGAGAATTCTTCATGCAGAGCATTCATCCACATATAATACTGACCTCCTTAAGACACAGTAAATGTGAGATCAATGTGAAAATTCTTTGGCCAGGCAAATGCATGCTAAAGGAAAAGGCAAAATAATAAGCATAGATTCCAAGCACCAAATATATTATTTTACAGGTTTCATGAAGTAAACACTTATAAAAGGTTTCTATCAGTATTTTATAGTTCCCTCCCTTGTTTTCATCATTTTTAATTTTTATATTTTAAACTTTATGAGGCTACTTTTAGGATAAATCAGATAAATAAATATGAAGCAAAAAAACCTATTAAAACTTAGAAAAAAATTATTCTGAATGTTACAAGTAAATAACTGTTAGTTACCACTTTGGCTTTTAATCTCTCTACTTTTAAGCAGGCAGATCAAACCCTGTCAGAAAACTCTAGCAAGGATAAAACTGCAAGATTGAAGGGTAGTGATGACTCAAGTAGAACAGAGAGGATGAGGAAAGGAGAGGAGAACCAGGAAAGATGACAAGTACTACCATCTTGTCAGGATTAACAAAATAAAACAAAGAAGACAGGAGACAGTATGTTACATGGTATACAACCAGCATCACTGAAGTTTCTCCCATATAAATACTAAATAAACACCCTTCCATCTGAATTAGAAAGGCTTCATACAAATGCCATACTTTCACTTTTAAGATCAGTACAAGATTAGCATTTTTCAGTCATGTCTAGTTGTTACTGATTAGTCAATTGACATGTCACGATACATCACAGCATCAACTAACAAAAGGGTAACATAGTTATAAGTTTTCCAAATAAATAAATAAATAAATATACCAAATTACAGGGCAATGTATATAATAATATAATAATATAACATAACATAACATAATAATATAATATAATATAATATAATATAATATAATAATATAATATAATATAATATAATATAATATAATATTATAATATAATATAATATAATATAATATAATATAATATAATATAATATAATATAATATAATATAATATAATATAATATAATATAATATAATATAATATAATATATATTCAGAAATATATTCTGAAATAGCAGTCCCCAACCTTTTGAGTTCCAATGACCAGCTCCATGGATGCAGTTTTTCCGCATGGGGCTTTTCCAGATGGGGCTTCACTTGCTTGCACGGCCCAGTTCCTGGCAGGCCACAGAATGGTGCCAGTCTGCAGCCCACAGGTTGGGGACCTCTGTTCTAGAAGATTTCCAAGGTCCCTTCGAACTCTGTTATCCTACGGACATCCCATTTGCACTTTACTCCAATTTTTCCTATGTAACAAACTCTCAGCTGAACAGCTTTAATATAAGAGAAGGAAGTAGAACTATTGGTTGTTGCAGTTCCAATAGGCTATTCAATGCATAAGTTCTAAATACAAGGTTCTAATCAATCTTTATTACATTCATGGAGTTCTAAATAAAAGGCTCTTCATGGGGCATATAATTGGCATTCAAATAAGACATATGCAAAGTCTTCTATTTTGGTAAATGTACCATATGGCACTATTTCTGTTACAATATTTGAGATTATTTTTCATGATCTCTTGCTTGTAGGTTAGGTGAAATTTTATGGATATGGTATATTCATGGCTCTCAGGAAAAAGGCTATAAGAACTAAATTTTCAATGTAGTTATACACATATGAGCTAAGATATGTGAAATGTTTAGAAACAATGATTGTCTCATTATATAACCTCTGAAAGTTGCTATTTCAGTTTCAGTGCAGCATGTTTAAAATAAAATTGGAGTAAGTTAGCTAGACTTCATCTTTAAATTAAGCATTTTTTTGTTTTAATTTTGATATTGGCCTTCCAAATTATTTCTTGAATGTTTTGGGCTTCATCTACATGTTCATGTAAACTATTGCCATAAAATCTGGACCATTTTTAATTGTTAATCTGTACAATTCTAAAGCTAGAATTTTTGTAAAATATTTTAAGAATGGTTCTCGTCAAAAACAAAAGAGAAAAATATTTAGCGCACAACAAATAGAAAATACATGTTTAATATAGATTGGGAATATGAGGATCATTTATGTTAAAATATGTTCTTTTTGATGACTAGTCTTTTTAGTAAGTATATCTGAGTGATTGACTGGATGACCTACTGGTCATTATGTAGCATCTGTAGTAGCAACTGAAAGAATAAAGAGATACTATATTATGATGAACTGATGTGAGTTATTCCAAATAATTCATTTTCATAACCACATTACTCTTTTCAAAAAGCAAATAAGACTCTTATCCCAAAAATAGATATCTAGGAGTCAAGTTGAAAGGAGTACAAATGCATAATTACTTTCTAAGAATCATAAGACAGTAGTTTTCAGTTCCAACATTATATTTGAATTTGTGACAAAGCCAACCCTCACTTTGAGACTTTATATGTTGTTCCGATGAAGATGAATGGCAACATCTGCAAAGCAAAAGTTTCTATCAAGCTAGCCATATGTTCAACACAATGATATCTAAATTTATATAGCTTTCCTGGCCTCTAGGCTAATTTGTATGGGTGCCAAATCTTTCTCTGGATTCTGGGAAGTACTAGTTAAAATCTTCACAGCATAATTTTTCTTCCCTACTTTTTTCTTTTGTAACCTCAAGGGTCATAATATAAGCAGCTTTGTTCATTCTTATTGACATATTTGCTTTCAGTTTTCCTCTTAAATTTTTATCAGAAATTTGGATGTTCTGTGTGGACATATACACATTCTACACATATTAGTTACTTGTTTCTCTCCTTCTTTGTTTTTTAGACATAAAACACAGTAATAGTTATTAACTGTATATAGTAAAAGGTGTAATAGTAGCTTGATATTTGCTATATCTAATTAATGAGATTTAAAATACCTGCAAGAACATTTGAAACTGTCTCCGTATGGTATTTCTGTTGAGGTAATAAGCAACGGCTGCCCATTGGTCAACTTTTCAGAGATATTTCCTAAACAGAGAAACAAAATGACTATGGATGAGCAAAAAGGCAGTGGGAATGTGAGTGACTTGCAACTTCCTGCTGACTTCTCCATTGAATTTCCTTGTGGGAAGCTGGCAGAGAACATCAGAAATCCTTCCTCCCTCTCCTCATTTGATCACAGGTTAGTTCACTAGTTCAATTGGGCATTCATAGGTAAACTGCCAAGTACCCAAATCAAGATTGTGAGGATGCTGCAATGGCCACAACGATGAGTTTAAGCTTCGAGTATTCAGTGCCTTCATAATTTTGAACAGTGGCTGAGCAAGTGGTCATTATACAAAGACTATCTATAGTCACAATTAACAAATTATAAACTGCTGTGAGCTGTCACATTCCTTGTTTACTTTCCTTTTTAATCACAGATTTGCCACTCTCTTGTCTCAAAAGTCATGATATGATATACATTGAGGTTATTAACTGGACTATCAGTTATACTAATTTTTGATTGCTTCAACTTTAAGATTAAGAACCAAAGTATGCTAATAATAATCTTAATGTTATAGTTGCCACTTTCTACTAATTAATGAAGGGAATTTTTTTTAAATGCTTTGTGGACTGTTTTACACTAGAGCAATTACAATATTATTTCTACATTCATCACTAGGAGCATTTCTGAAGTTCTGAATGTATGTGATGAGCACATTCCAGAAAATAGTTCTTGTTCTATGCATGGTGGCATTTTCAAGATTCAAGGACATAAAACTGTGCATAGAGTTCTATACCTGTAGATGTGGAACTATTAGGAGAGCACTGCAGCAACTTAACAGGCCTACAATAAATTCTTTATCTTTAGGAATTTCCTGTAAAATTGGAAGTTGGAAATCTTACACAAACTATGAAATGAAAGTTAGCTTCTGCTGGTTTTATTTTGATAGGTTTCCTTGTTTGTACAATATGTTATTCTTATAAAGAAGAAAGGCAAGTCAGAAGGAAAATTGGGATCTGGATATAACAGAAATTGAGTGTTATCATTTATTTATATTTGCTATAATGTAATGTTACTTTCCTTCAATCATGATTTAACATTACATGTATAACAAAGCAAATTATGGATAACATGAACTGGGTTTCTTCCTGGCTAAAATTCACAAATCCAATCTTAACACATTTGACCATGGTACAGATATAATTATAAACTATTAATTAAATTAAAAAGAGAAAGACAAGGGAATTCCACTAAACAATATGGTATAAACTCTTAAAAGTGAGAGAAGAAAAAATAAAATAAAGTTGTTCTGTTAAATTTGGAATCTTAAAATTGAATAGAAAATAGAAAAACTGCATTCCATTTTCTCAAGGATTGCATGGACAATGAGATATTTTGTTATTTTGTACCATTTAAAATGTTTTGGCCTAGACTCTCTGAAAATACTGTGGACATTTAAAACAATGCAGGAAATATATTCCATTCCCTTTAAAAAGTGGTAATTAGTGCATAAAGACGTATAGAATATCTTATTTGCCATGTTTAGTATAGTTTCTGCATGTTAAATCTTGGAGTAAGTCCAGTGTGTTCTTTAAAATCTTTAACAACCTCCTTTAAAGAATTAGTGTACTTAAATCATGAACTGTGATCTAAAGGCTATGTTCCTTTAGGTATCAATTACTTCAGAAATGTGTGGTTATCTTGGTTTGGCCAGCTGCAAATGGTTTTATTTCCACTTTGCCCTGGGCCAAAAACATGCTAAGTTGTCCAAAGCAAATGATAAACATGGATTTCTGATGTCATTATGGCCCAAACAGGATATGATTGTTTGGCGGTATGGTTTCAGTTATGATGAGTTATACAGAAAACAAATATTGTTTACTATGCATTTTTAAATTGTCTTTCTGAAATTTTAAATTAAAAATTACAGTTTCATCCCTTTT